CGAAGTAGGACGTCGTTTGTCGCAAACCCCCTGTAACAACCCGCTGATTCCCTTAGGGCCCCTACATCAGAACCCTTTCAAGGAGGTAAGGGACCAGAGTAAGGGCCCATGTAACTACCCTGAACCCTAAACCTTACAACCTGAACCCTAAACCCTAAACCCTAAACCCTGAGATGAACCAAGCCTATAAATCCCCTGCGAGCCCCAAGAGGTGAGGCCTTGGCCAGCGCCAGGGCCGCTGCGTTGCCAGCTTCCTCACAAAGTCGTACTCGCAAGGTCTTCTTCCAGCTAGGGTTTAATTAGGGTTTAGGGTTTGGGGTTTGGGGTTTAGGGTTTGGGGTTTGGGGTTTGGGGTTTGGGGTTTGGGGTTTGGGGTGTAGGGTCTAGGGTTTCGGGTTTAGGGTTTGGGGTGTAGTGGTTTAGGGTTCAGGGTTTAGGGTTTAGGGCACAAGCCCTTCAAAATGCGCGCGGACAGGTGGCAAAATATCCGCGGAAAAGTTGCGGAAACCTGAACCTGTGGAAAAGTTTGGGGAATCAACGGAATGTTGCGAACAAAATCACGCGGATGATCGTGGAGTTGATCGATTCTAGCCAGGACACACAGTTGCGCATGTACAAGAGGACTAGTCTGGGAAGGGAACCCAGGCTCGAAGCGAGAATGATTAGGGTTTTGGGTTTAGGGTTTAGGGTTTAGGGTTTAGGGTTTAGGGTTTAGGGTTTAGGGTTTAGGGTTTAGGGTTTAGGGTTTAGGGTTTAGGGTTTAGGGTTTAGGGTTTAGGGTTTAGGGTTTAGTAGGGTTTAGGGTGACCACAGGAGCGAGGAGTTTCTCTTAATTGTCGCTGTGAGCAGGGGGGACAACTGATCATTCTTGCAAATAATCTCCAAACATTATCCCTCTTCCGGCACTGTCCATGATGGATAGGGCAACTGATTCCGGGGTGTCTAAGTTTGAGAGCTCATAGACTCATAGAGCTTCAATTGTGTACCCTAAATCCTCAACCCTAAACCCCCATGCTAAACCCTAAACCCTAAGCCCGAAGCCCGAAGCCCTAAGCCCTAAGCCCTAAGCCCTAAGCCCTAAGCCCTAAGCCCGAAACCCCACCCTGGTTTTCCAGCTCAGGCTTGGGCTTGGCCCAAGTCTGCCACGGCCTCTGCAGCGCCCCAGCGGATGCCGGGGTCAAGCTCGATCCTGGAACCCTAGCCCCTTAAGGAGGGTTGAGGGTTTAGGGTTCAGGGTTTAGGGTTTAGGGTTTAGGGTTCAGGGTTTAGGGTTTAGGGCTCGATCCTGGGGCTTTCAGGGTTCAGGGATCTCCTTAATGGATCCCAAGCCCCTTGAGGAGGGTTTAGGGTTTAGGGTTTAGGGTTTAGGGTTTAGGGTTTTTGGGGTTTGGGGTTTGGGGTTTGGGGTTTGGGGTTTGGGGTTTGGGTTTGGGGTTTGGGGTTTGGGGTTTGGGGTTTGGGTTTGGGGGTTTGGGGTTCATAGTTCACACTGGCGGGGACTTTTTTGGGGGGGGGGGGGGAGGGTGCAGGGCCCAGGGGCCAGGGCGCAGCATCGGCCAGCTGAACGCAGTAGTGTGAAAACATGCCCGCCCCAAGGCCACCCAATCACAACTCGCAGCGAGCCAAGCCAGAGCCAGCCCAAACCAAGCCAAAGCCCTTCCAAATTCAACATTTGCTGGGAAACTTAGGACACTTCAGACTCTCCGGTCGCTGCGAACACTTTGGGACATTGGGACTCGGGACTCTTGCCAAACTTTGCATTGGCAAACTTCTGGCAAACTCAGCAAAGGAAACCCCCCCCCCAAGCTTGCAGTGGGGACGGTCTGCGCCGAAGGGCCTTTTCATGGATTACGTGGCTTTTCAAAGGCCTCCGGCCACTGGCAAACTTTTGGCTAACTTTTTAGGCTGGCACATTGTTCGCCTGGAAACCTCTGATTCCTTGGAGTTTCTAGTCGCTCGGGGCCGGAAGGCAAAGAATACTGGGGACTTGGGCCGAAGGGCCGGCAAGCTTTTGGCCAACTTTTGGGCTGGCAAATTGTTTGCCTGGAATTCCAGATTCATTGGATTTTCTAGTCGCTCGGGGGCAGACGGGCAAGGGTGCAAAAGCCGTCCTCGAATCGACACAAAATCTAAAATGCTTTCAATTGTTTGCCCCCAGCTTCTTGAATAGGCTTTGAGTTCCCCCCCCCCCGCCTGCAATTCCTCCCTATTCCCTCTGTCTCTCAATTTCTGCACCCGACACAATGTCACACGGTCCCCATGCCAGAGCTGAAATATTCAAAACCAGCCACAAACAACTTTTCGCATCTTTTCGCTTTTTCATGCTTCAGGAATGATTGTGGTCATGGCCCAAGACGTTTGTTGAGGCCATATCGGGCAGATGACTGTACAGTTTCTCAGCCGAGCTCCAGATGTGTAGTCCTAGTCGGTGTGAGTTTGAATTAATCGAAGTCAAGCGGTGACACCACAAGCGCAAAACGCGTGGCAGGATCCTGTCTGCTCAACATGTGAGGCTGTGAAGGAAAAGGGAACTCCAACACAACAACACGCAAAAACCGTCTGCCCTAAACCCTAAACCCTAAACCCTAAACCCTTCTGTCCAATGGCCTGGTCTGAGGAAGATCGTTTTCTTGCAGAGCCAAGACTGAAACTCCAGAGCAAACCAACAGACCAAACAGCCCTAAAACCCTAAAACCCCCTAAAAACCCCAAAACCCTAAATCCCTAAAACCCCTAGAAAACCCAAAAAACCCTAAATCCCTGAATCCCTAAAAAGCCCCCCCTAAAACCCCTAAACCCCTGAATCCCCCAACCCCAAAATCCCCAAAGTCCCTGGCAATCCTACAGTCCCCTAAACCCTAAACCCTAAACCCTAAACTCTAAACCCTAAACCCTAAACCCTAAACCCTAAACCCCTTAGAGGCCAGCCTTGCGATGGCCTCGGAGAGCACGCCGGCTGCCTCAGGTTGCTTTTCGAGGCTTTCCTGTGGTTTTAGGGGGGGTTTCGGCTTTAGGGTTTAAGGTTCAGGGTTTAGGGTTTAGGGCTTAGGGCTTAGGGCTCAGGGTTTGGGGTTTGAGGTTTGGGGTTTGGGGTTTGGGGTTTAGGGTTTAGGGCTGCGAGCAATGTTTTGGATTGAGTTCGGACACAGGAATTATCGCAGAAACATCATTGCTTCGAATGTGGGTCACTATCGAGCCTCCAAGCCCTGAGGGGGCAATTCAGCCACCTCAGCCACCCACGTGGCGCTTAAGCCCTGTAATCTGAATTTCAAAGGCCACATCTACACTGTGGAAGCTTGCGACATCACCGAAATCGGACGCACAAAACCTCAAATCACCGCACCCTGGTTCTCTTGTTGCAGTGCCTCCGAAAACCCTGCTGCAAGGTTAGAACCTCAAGGGCCCTCTCAGTTCCTGCAACCCCTAAACCCGAAACCCGAAACCCTAAACCCTAAACCCTAAGCTCGGGACTTCTAAACGTCCCTAATTCCCGAAGTCTACGAGTAGGAGCACGTGCCTGCGGCGCGAGGTTTCGGCAGGAACCCAGCCTTGCATCTCCGGCACCCCCCAGAAGTCCCGGAAGCCGTAAACCGGTTTAGGGCCTAGGGTTTTGGATTTAGGGTTTAGGGTTTAGGGTTTAGGGTTTCGGGTTTAGGGTTTAAGGTTTAGGGTTTAGGGTTTAGGGTTTAGGGTCTAGGGTTTAGGGTTTAGGGTTTAGGGTTTAGGGTTTAGGGTTTAGGGTTTAGGGTTTAGGGTTTAGGGTTTACGGTTTCGCGGCCTGTTCGCAAGGCCGTGAGCTCTCAACTCTCGAGGCCTCTGGGGCTGCTAGGAAGCCCGAAACCCTAAACCCTAAATACCCTAAACCCTAAACCCTAAACCCTAAACCCTAAACCCTAAACCCTAAACCCTGAAGGCCTTTAACACTGTTCTGAGGACTCGCGTCAGCTACATGCTCTTTTGAACGTCGCCACGGTTCACACGCCACCTGGCCGACTGGCTCAAGAGATCGCCTTTTTGTGCTGAAACTGGGGGGTAACAGTAACAGGGTTTAGGGTTTAGGGTTTAGGGTTTAGGGTTAGGGTTTAGGGTTTAGGGTTTAGGGTTTAGGGCTTAGGGTTTAGGGTTTAGGGTTTAGGGTTTAGGGTTCAGGGTTTAGGGTTTAGGGCCAGCATCGAAGGAGGACGATCTTCATGGATGTTTCCGGGTTCGGAGTGCAGAGTGCGGGAAACAGGCTTTCAGTCACAGGCATCTCCACACCCCCGCGATTCAAGATTCGCAGCGAATCATGTGAGCCTGACGATGGCACCTGGAGGCTTCCTGATCATCAAACCCCCCAAAGTTCGTCAAAACTGTGCTTTGGTCTGCTTCTAAAGGAGCTCGCAGCTCACGTGCCAATACCCAGGCTCCAAGCACACCGTCAGGTGTGCAGGCTTGCAGCAGCTGTCAGGCTCAATGAAGCCTGAAGCGAAAGCGGCCATGCCCCACAGTAGACAGTCCAGCACTGGCAGTATGGAGTGCTGTTAGCGAGAGGAACAAACATGGGAATCACACCTAGAAAAGCGCAGTGATCTGACGAAAACGGGCTTCAGGTTAGATGGGCGATAACCAACCAGAGTGACAATCAAGAGGACCCTTTTGCAGTTTCGGCAGTCGCGTCGTCCGTCAAGAACCGAACAAACATGTCTAGGACGTATCCATCTCAACAATGAAAGCTGGGACCATCGCGGCTGCAAGTTTGGGAAGCTGCTGGTTCGACCAGTCCATGCCGACTCAAGCGCTTTCACTATGCCGCCAGAAATCAGCCTCGCCATGGACTTAGACTCCACAAGATCTTCTAAGGTGGGTGGGGGCTTCTACGTGAAAGAGGTGGCAGCGCTCGGGTCGAAAGCTCAAACTCCCGCGGCTTCGTGGGACTCCCTTGGAGGCCACAAGCGCTTTGGGAGTCCGAGCATTCCACGGCTGTGAGAAATTTCTGGCAAAGGCGCTCTGAAATCTAACGCCTCAGCTGAATTCCTTGGGCATAACCTCGGCGGTGGCTGAGCACTTCGGCTAGAACATGCTACAATCATGCGCTGCCCGGCGCCAGATGTGGCACGGGCTGCTTGAGCAAACTCTGAAAACTGGTGGCTTAGATTCATGCACTCGTCGATTCTTTCGGACATCCCAGTGTGAAGTTGTACGTGCAGCTTTCTTGAAGGCGCTGAGCAGCTTCTAGCATTCTAGCATGATCCTGCTTGAACATGTTGATGCAGTCGTCATTCCATGCGGCTCGAGCTGTCCGGGCTGTTTGACAGTTTACGCAAAGTTCGACCCTTCAGCTTCCTAAGCCTCGAAGTTCAATGTGCTGGTTTCTTCCAAGCCTGGCTGACCCTAAACCCTAACCTCTAAACCCTAAACCCTAAACCCTAAACGCTGAACCATTCCGCTCGGAAACATGGCCGCAGTCCTCGTCCGTGTCCACGCCGTAGCGCTCGCAGAGCTGCTGCAGCTTCGCTCCGATGCCCTCTCCTCAAGCAGGCAGTCGTTAGGGTTTAGGGTTTAGGGTTTAGGGTTTAGGGTTTAGGGTTTAGGGTTTAGGGTTTAGGGTTTAGGGTTTAGGGTTTAGGGTTTAGGGTTTAGGGGGGTAAGGGCCTTTGGAACATGACAACTTGGCCCAGTGCACTAACACCATGATGGGATAGAGGAATTCCGTCTCTTTGTTTCCGCAAGAGGGCATTTCGCACGAGTTCAGCGCGTTCGGGTTTCGGCTCAGTGCTTAGAATTCTTAGAATCAAACGAAGACGTCTGAACGTTCATGTATGTGTCCTAGCTTTTGAGCGAGCAGCGCGAGCCACAGATGAGGTGAGGAAGAAGAGCAAATGGATGTATGTTCCCAGCACGTGGACGTGGGGAGCTAGATTTGTCCCACGGGTGGACAGGTGCCCCACGCCAAAGACAAAGTACGACTCCGTTGTGGCACCGTTGGTGTTGTCGATCTCTGGTGGGTTCGACCACTTCGAAACCGGCCCCTTTCTGATGTCTGAGCTAGCCCGCGTGATTGGGCGTGTGTATGGCCTGCAACCCGAGCCTGAGGATGCTCTAGGCTTCTTCGGGTTCTCCCAAAAAAAGCACATCCTGCGCTACTGCACCCAGACCTACGCGGAACTTGCACAACTTGCCGCAGTCTGATTTCAGTTCTGCGCCAGTGCCAGTTCAAACCTAAACCCCCATCTGGAGGTTTTAAAGTTGTTCGCAGTGGCGGCGCCTGCGGAGGGAGGTGAGAGCAATTTGCAAATATTTCCCCAAATCCCGAATCTCATGCCGCTGCGAGCGGGCTATGGTGCGTTTGCTCAACAAGAGAGAGACACCGACAATCTAGATAGCTCTGGTTGATCCTTGCTTGATCTCAGTTGATCTTCTTTTGTTGGTTGTCTTTCGTTGTTTGCCTATCCCTGACTGCGAAAGCAATGGGAGTCTATTTGCTGGAAATCGACAGAGGCGACGGCAGGCGGACAAGAAGACTGGCAGACAGCACAAAGTCCGAAGCCAGAAAGGGGATTCACGCAGACAAGTAGACAAACAGACAAGCAGATAGACTGACAAATCCACAGACCCGTAGACGGAAAGCCACACCTCCTGAAACCGAATTTTTTCAAGCCCCTGCAGCCCTCACTGGGTGCGCCCAGGCTTCCCAGGGTTTTCAGGGCGTCCACACACAGGCGCTTTCGCTTGCGCCAGGTGCCCGCGGCCTGCCAAGAATGCTAGATTTTTTAAGGGTCGGGGGCACTCACAAAGGGGTAGTTCTGTAGCACACCTGTAGCCTAACTCAAGAAAATGCGAGTTCATTCGGGCTTATTCGACAGCATCCCAAAAACTACACAACAACTCGACTCCCAAAAACAACAGAAAAAACAGTTCTGTGGCGTCATAGCCTAGTCCGAAAGCTTAAACCTCGGACTCCTTCCATGTTATCGAGTTTGCCAGCACTCCGACTCCTAATGCAAGAGGCGCAAAAAAGTGGCGCACATTCTCACGGATAACAAGTTTCTTGACAGATTTAGGAGTTGAATTTGGCGGGAAGGTTCCGTGAGACCAGGCCGGCCAAGATTAGGGTTATGGATTTGAACATCTGTGGAGTTGGGGGTTTAAGAATTGGAGCAAGAGTTCTCGGTTTCGACACGGGGTTTGGAGGCACGTGCCTTCTTCAGCGCCTCTTCCACGGCGACGACCTCGCCTTTGTGTGAGCTAAACAGTGGGAACAGTGTGAACAGCCTGACCAGTGTGAACTCTGCCCTGGACCTTTTTCTCCAGCCTCTGAACCTCACACCCTCTAAGCTCAGCTTGTGACTTCTTCTACTCGCTGTGGATGAACAATGTGAACTCAATGAACTCATTGAACACTCGGTTGTTTGACGTGATCTCTGCAACTTCTTGTTTGCAACTTTTGCAATATATGCACAGGCACTTCAACTACTTCAAGCCCTTGCAATGACTTGCCGACGTTCGTCTCGCCCAGCCAAGTCGCGCTCGTCCACCGCCTCCTCGCCCGATGCCGCGCGGAGTGCGGCGGCCTCCGCCGCGCGAGTTCCAGAATGCTCCAGAGCTTCAATGAGGGGTTCAACACACCCTCAGACTTTGCACGAAGGTTCACCTCCATTGCAACCTGGAACTCGGTGCACACTCTCAGATGATGTGCTGTCTTGCAGACCCATCTGAGGGAGCAATGCTATCAACTTGCCTTGGACTCGAGCTTCGCAACTTCCTCCGCAGCTGCCTTCGCCTCGCCAGGGCAGATTCGGAGTGCAAATTCAGAGCTCCATGAATAAGCGCTGCAAGAGTGTTGGAGGTCCAGGGTCTTCCTTGAATCAAAATGTGGTTGACCCAGAGAGCCCAATACCCAAAAAACTAAGGAATCTAGCTTAAATTATAATCGGGATCCTTGCTATGATTTAAGGAATATTTCCTTAATTAAGGGGTATTGGGCTCCTTGGTTGAGGGCTTGCTGGATTCCGGAGAAGACGCCCGATCACGCGGGAGGAGAATGCTGGGATCCGAGGAGGCCTTGCTACCAAGCACCACCACAGGTGCCTTCCTTGTTCTCCTTGCCGTGCATCAGAATGCCTCAACCCTAAACCCTAAACCCTAAACCCTAAACCCCTAAACCCTAAACCCTAAACCCCTGAACCCCTAAACCCCTGAACCCCAAAACCCTAAACCCTAAACTCTAAAACCTACTGCATGACGGAGACGCCTCTCGTGCAGCTGCATGCTTGCTCTCGAGCTGCGACAGCGACTTGCGGACATCATCCTTGGAATCGCAATCGTCAAGGGATGTGAAGGGGCTGCAGTACCCAGAGAGCCCAAGACCCCTGAATTCAGGAATATAGCTTAAAGCAAAAAAGGGATCCTTGTTATGATTTAAGGAATATTCCGTAATTAAGGGGTATTGGGCTCTTTGGGATAGGCTTATGCAGGGGCTGTCACGGATGTCGGGGCTCCACCTTCGTGGCTCATCGACTCTATCATCTTTATCGCGCCAGATATCAGGCGAAACAGAGGATCGACGAGTGAACCAAGGAAGAGCCTAGCCAACTCCTCTGCCCCAAAGCTGCCAGATCTGACTTGCAGGGCGATGCTCGACTTGCTCAGGGTGTAGTCAGGTTAGGAGCACATCTTGAGTTGAAACAGGCACAAAAAAAACCTAGCAACCCTAAATGCTCTGACAATGGTGACGACCCTTAGCGCCTGAAACCCCACCCACGACTTCTCTCCAAACCGCGCCCGGGCGCGACCTGCCCCTGGATGTCCTTCTTCTGGGCTGCCGCCTACGCTTCGAACGAAGCGCAACAGTCGAGACTTTGGTGACGACTACTAGGGCCAGGGGCGACCAGGCAATACCATGCGGTGCCAAACGTTCTTGCAGTTGCCTAAGGCAACAACAGGGCAAATTGGGCGCTGAGATGCTACTCACTACTACATCACGGACCCGTACCTTCAACTAGAAGGGCAAAGCCCTCAATCAGACTCGAGCTGCAGAGAATTGCAATCATGAGCCGCAAGAACACAAAACGGACAGGCTCCACCGCTGACTGTACTCTAAAGCAAGCAGAAGCACACCAAGCTCAGCGCAAAGACCCCAGCCCCTAGTCCCAACAAGCTGAACCCCGAAAGGACGACACGACAAGAAACCGGACCCAAGCGTGAGCCAAACCCTCTTTGCGGTGTGTCCAACTTGCTACCTCATGGCCTGCTGCACTGTAGCCGCCAGTTCTTCATCGCCGTCGGCCGTGGGCGCAGTCTGCGCAGCCAAGTAGACCTTGCGGAAGGGCTCAGGTTTTGAATGGTTTGGGGCTTGCGGGATCCAAGACCGTAGTTTATTGTAACTCGACATTCCGATGCTTTATGTGCTTGAGGTGGTCACATGTATCTTCCCATGTACCCTCCACACAGCCTTGATCTTGCCGTACTCCTTCAAAACGAGCTTCCCAGCAGCGCAGAGTGCATCCATGATGGTCTCACGGGGGGGTAAGGGGGGCTGGCGTTGGAGTCAGATGCCACGGTTTTCACAGGAGGTGGTACTCGAAATCATCGCAGGACGCGCTCTAGTTGACGGCGTGCCTCTGCTGACAAGAAGACTTCTTTGATGCAACAAGAACCTTGCTAGGAAGTCACTGGGGATTGGTCGCAAGACTATGCCCTCGAAGTGGCTTCGGTTGGTAGTCATGGGTTGTCGAAAAGCAGGACGAACAAATTACACGAAGGCTACTGGCGACCCCTTCATCTGCCCTTCCCTAAACCCTAAACCCTAAACCCTAAACCCTAAAACCTACCCTAAACCCTAAACCTTAAACCCTAAACCCAAAACCCTAAACCTAAACCCCAAACCCTAAACCCAGACTGTGCAGCCTGTACAGAGCCCTTCGGCACGGCCCCATGGAGATTGTCGAACACATTCCTTGGGATGCACGCGGCAAGGCCCCCAAGGACGCGCGGCTCCAAGGAAAAAGACATCATGGTGTATGGTTTAGGGTTTATTGTTTAGGGTTTAGGGTTTAGAGTTTAGCTTCAGAGCTTCGGATATTGAGGGTTTTCCGAACATAAGGGACCCCTAATAATGTCGTTCCACAAAGAGTAGGAACTAATCTCGGCAACCCCCGTATTCATGTTCATTACCTCGATTTGCGACGTCCGGGGGCACTGGAGAGATAGAAAGAGAAACCAAAGAAAGAAAAAGAAAGAGGAGCTAATGAGAGAAGAACGAGAGAAAGATAAACAAGGAAGACGAGGAAGAAGGACAGAGGAGAAAAAAGCGACAGAGCCACGAGTGAACGAAAAAAGCCTGGAATTCACTTGCAACTGGGGACTCGTTAATCCCCAAGATCCACGTCCTTCAAGCCGTCGCTTTGGGGGTTTGCAAAGGCTCGAAGCCCCAGCATCCGCAGGGCAAATGGTGAAAGACGTCGAAGCCTCCTATTCCGAACCTAAGTGGGGAAATCTTCACACACCTCCCCATGCAACTCCTCCAGCATTCCTAGATCCTAAACTCAAGCGCCGAAACCTGAAAAAAGCCCGAAGGCTTTTTGCCCTGAAAAGGCCTCCAGACCCGAACAGAACAGGGCTCTGGGCGTTGAAAGGCCGATTCTGCTGCCTGCCACACTTATCGTTGGGGTGTAGAGATAACAGGGGTAGAGAAAGTTTCGCCACTGGTGTTTAAAGTCTAAGGTTTAAGGTTGTAAGCATTGGAGGTTCAAAGCTTCGATGCCGATCAAGACTGGGACAATGCGGCCAGTTGGGCTACAATTGCTTGGGTTTCAGGTCGCAGGGGTTTGGTCTTGCCGGAAGGTTCGCAAGTGTTCCTGATGGTAGAGGCATGCCATCAGAACCGCAGACACACGCCCGAGCAATCCAAAGTTCAAGCCAACAAGCCTAAACCGCGAACCAACCCTCAAACCTGCACCTGAAACGCCCCAACTTACCTCCCAACCAAGCCTCATGTACTCGAGTACCTTGGTCTCCATCTCGTCCTGCGACAGAGAAACAGCGCAGTGCCCAATAAGACTAGAAAATTTCATGCCAGGGTATCTAGTGAGGGTGTCCGCGATTCGGCAAATCCTCACTAACTTTGAGGGAAGATTCCCCACAAAGAGCCTCCGAAAAGATTACCACACCTTGCACACGAAGCTCTTGGTTCCCGACTGGGATGTTGAGGGCGTAAGGGCAGTTGAGGGTCACTATCTTCAGGATGTACCTGCATTTTGTCTCTCAGAAGTACCTGCAGGCAGGTGCGGTGGCTCTGCGAAGGTTACATCTCCATTGTGTAGTCCCGAGTTCACCCCTTACACTCCTGACACTGCTCACGACTAGTCCGCTGCGTATGTAGGTTCCATACGTGCTTCTGCTGAACACTACACAGTCAAGATGCCATCATAGCAACGACATCACCAACATCCCCAGAGTAAGAACCAATCTGAATAACCACAGACAGAACGACAATCAACTTTCCCGCAATAACTATCGCAGTAATCAAAACTCGAGCGTACTGGCAACAACAGTGGGAACCACTGTCGCCATGCAGCGAACAAGAGCTGTATCAATCGCGTCATGCTCAAGGGACGAAAAAGAATAAGGATGAAGGTAGTTATCACGATGCTCCCCCGACAATTGAAGTGGCGCAATGTTTTTGAAAGCTGATTCAGGAAGTTATTGGAAGGTTTAAGATGCCTCAAAAGCACCTGAAAAAGTGCCTCTCGATTCTATTCACAATAAATGAAGACGGAGAATCCTTGCCTAACACTAAGAGGGCTCGAGTCGGGTCGAGACAAGAGCCCGTGGTCCTTTGTTAGCTTCTTCTCCTTCGCTTCCGCCTGGAGCTGGGCACTGCGAGACAACAGCTGCGAAAGACAGCGCTTTTTCAACTTGGGGATTAATTTCCGCTGTCACTTTAACTCATCCCACAGCCTAATTGCCACACCAATTAGTACAATGCTCCGACAAGCGCGAAGCTCTTTCTGGGCACCCTTAAAGCCGGCTCTCAGCGTCATGCCCCTAAGGTATGCAGAGACTGCCAGAAAGAGCTGTCTTGCCCATATAGACTCCAAAGAGCCACATGCGTACACGCGAGAGAAGCCTCCAGCAAACTCAAAGCGCCCCGCAGCTGAAGCACTAAAACCCCGCCGCCAAAAACAGCCAAAAAGCCGATCTTAACAGTGAGCAGATGTAGGTTCAACCCCGACAATAAAGAAACGGTCAAAGCGAATCCTGAACCCAGGCAACATTCAGCCCGACAACACGAAACACTGGAACTTTTTGCATGATCTCTCCTGTCTCTTTTTACCAAAGAGCCCTCCTAAACCCTAAACCCTAAACCCCAAACCCTAAACCCTAAACCCTAAACCCTAAGCCCTAAACCCTAAACCCTAAACCCCCAACCCAATTCCCTCACAAGCGCCAGCATGCACCAGACCTTCGGTGCAGGCTTCTTCGCCCCCGCAGCTGCCGCGAGCCGGGGCCTCGGATTTCAGAAACTCAGAAGGCGTCTTCAGCATGGGGGGCATTTGGCAGTCAACTCCGAAGCCTACTGAAACAAACACAGCCCTAAACAGCCCCAAGTCCATGGGGAGAAGTTAAGCCGTACCCGAATCATTCCCATTCGAGCCCAGGTTGCTGCTTCACCGCGATACCCGCAGCAGCATCCTCAGGTGATTCGAGGGGTTTCTTGTGGCTTCTTTTGGGCCTTGTTCGTACTTGAGGGCTTCCGTGGTTTGAGGTGTCTGTGGAGGAGGCAAGAAACCGGCAGCAGTGCAGCAGTACATCAACTGGTCAAGCATTGAGTGCGACTGTCGATGGGCACCAGGAAACCGTGCCACACGCAACCCTAAACCCTAAACCCTAACCCCTAAACCCTAACCCCTAAACCCTAAACCCGAAACCCTAAACCCTAAACCCTAACCCCAGGAAGCTTTGAGTGCTCTAGGGCTCCAGGGTGTTAGGCTAGAGAGCTTAGGGCTTGGACGCATTGAAGCGGCTGGTTTGAAGGAGTTAAAAGTTCTCGGAGGTTTCAAGAAGAGGGATCACGAAAATGTGCATATGTATGTATGCACCTTTAGGGTTCATTTAGCCTTGAGATTTTCTTGTCCTCTGAGAATACCTAGTATACATATTGAATATCCGTAGAAGTACATATCTATCCGCACGTGACTGAGGTTTCGGGTCGAAGGCCGAGAGTTTAAGGCCACCATGGGTTGTTGTTACCACAAGCAATTTTCTATCTTTTCTGTAGCAACACTGTGCTGCTGTACAAAACATTCTGCTTCATGCTGAATTCAATCGAGTTGTCTGTTCAAAATTTGGTGTATTATTTCTCTGCTTCTGATTGTGTCGCTATACCTCAAGGTTGTTTCTGCAACATTGACTGTTTTCGTATCTGATTGCCCAGTGATGTCGTGGTTTTCTCATGATGTTTTTATGCGTTGCGGGCCTCAGAATTCCCTACACCAGGAGCTTGCATAAATAAGTTTACTTCGTTTCCCCAGTTTTCATGTGTGATGGCCCAGTGATTTCGTGGCTTCTGAGGATTTTATGTGTGGTGCGCCACAGAATTGCCCACACCAGGAGCCTGTATAGTTAAATCTATTCCGTTTCTGCAACACTCATTGATTTTCCATGTGATTGCCCAGTGTTTTCATGATTTTCTCATCATGTTTATGTGCTGTGGACATCAGAATTCCCTACACCAGGAGCTTGTATGAAAAACATGCTTCGCTTCTGCATCATACACACATATGTATGTACGTCTCAATATATATATATATATATATATATATATATATATATATAGATGTATATATATATATATATATATATTTGACATATATACATATACATATATATATATATATATATATACAAAACGGGAGATATATATATATATGTATTTATTTGTTTTTTATTTATGTTATATCTATATATATATATATATATATATATCCCGTTTTGCATCTGCTATCACACACAGGTCTTCCTCTCATGATCCCTCACTTCGCCTCGGGAGCCGGGCGCTTCTCTGCCAACTTGGCTTCGTCCTTTCAGGGTTTAGGGTTTAGGGTTGAGGGTTTAGGGTTGAGGGTTGAGGGTTGAGGGTTGAGGATTTAGGGTTTCCAAATCGGAGAAAGGCTTCGCCTAGGCTTCGGCATACGGGTGGTAGGACTTTGGGCTAAGCCACATGAGTGTTGAGGTTATTCAGGGTGCACGTCTAGAAAGAGTCACACGAAACACGCTGCCATTCTGCAGGCAGCTGCGCACATCTGTTTCATGCGAGATCCCCAGCTGTTCAATTGAAGTTTCGTTTCAAAGAACGTCTTGAGAGAGCATTCTGTCACACAAGCCGTCGAGCCCGTCGTTTTATGCCTCACGCGCGGGGTTGTGGATGCGGTTAGGGTGGACGAATACCAAAGGCCAAGAGGTTCGTTAGTTGTTATACAAGTCCAGGATGTGAGGTGTCATAGGCTGTCGAAGTTTTGGGTCAATGGCCTTCGCTGCCAGCGTTATCGAGGTTCACGCCTAAAAGTTTGGAAGCACCGGCCTTTCTTTTCTACATTCCGCTGGCGTAGACCCCAAAGTGAGAGAGACACGCACGAACACTCCCATGGTCCAAGACGTCCCCACAATGCCGAGACCTCCAGACAGTCCATTGGCACTGAGAAGTCCCCAAGCAGCTCACCATGCTCACCCGAAACATTCCAGGGACAGGGACTCTTCCTAAAAGCATTCCACGAGCACAGCATCTAGACCGTTCGTAAGTTGCATCCGAGTCGGCCGGGCTGCATTTCGCGGGTCCAAAGTCCAAATGCGACGACAGTTTCAGTTTCGAGGACTGCGGGCGGCCACGCCCGCGGCTAGGCGAGAGTGCGATTCCCATCCAAGATGCGAGCAGAGCGCGGGCGCCAGCCGTGGGCGCCGCGCGGCTCCAGCGATCTAGCCCCTAACCCCCCAGTGTTGACACAGCGTTTGGGGAAAAAACTGCCTGCATCCGGTTTTGAGCAGCGGCCTCCTCAGTCAGAAGGCATGAGAGGGCTCAGTGAGTCTCTCCTAGCAAGGCTGCTTCCCTGCTTTTTACAAGCGATGAGAATGTGTAGGATTCCGACCAGCAAGCGAAAGAAACACCAGGAGCTCCCAGTCCCGTGGGGTCTTGTTATAAGGAAGACGGTGTGTTCTGCACCAGAAAGAGCCAAAGCTCCAACTCCAACTTCGGAAACGAACACCGACAAACCGGCCTTCCTCTCCTGAGCATTGTCTGCAGGTCGTTTTGGGAGCGGGCGTTCATTGACATGTTGGCAAGGCTGAGTAGGATAGGAGGTGCTTGTAGGATTGGGGTTCGAGACTTGCAAACTGGGGATTCAGGGAGAAATCCTGGGCCCTAAGCCGCGAAGCCATCGACCCCAAAAATTGCTCTGTGCGCTGAAAGACCCACATGCCCTTCCTTCGCCGTGTTCTGGGCCGCTGCTTTCACCGCAGGCTTGGGTGCTGTTGGTGGTGCCTCGCGGGAAGACTCAGTGGCGAACTTATGCAAAATCGCATAAATCAGGCCCTTTGTGGCCCTTCAAACCCCCTTAATCCCCCTAAAACCCCCTAAAACCCCTAAAACCACCCTCAAACCCCCTAAAACCCCCTACATACCTTTCCAAAAGAATTCCAAGCCAGGCCTTGGCCGCAGGTGCTTTTGCCGCAGGTGCTTTTGCCGCTGGTGCTTTTGGCGCTGGTGCTTTGGGCGCCAGAGCAGCTAAAGAGCCCTCCTCCTCCTGGACAAAGGGACGAGATGTCTCAACAAATTGTCAGACATGCGCATAGGTTGCTTGAGGCCTTTGGACCACTTGCGCCTTAGCGAGTAGAGTCTGGTGGCATGGACAATGCTTTGGGCCTGCAGTGGGGTTAATTCTCAGGGAATCAGGGAATTGTGACGAGTCTCGATCTTGACAAGGTCTTCGCGTAGCCTTGAAACGGGCGACTTTAAGGCTTTCAC